CCTTTTTTATGTTTCATTACAAACAAAAAAATAATAAAAAAAATCCAGATATTGAAAATGTGAAGTTTAGAAAGCCTTTACAAATGATTATATTGTTTCAGAGTCTTGTGGGTAGCCTGTCTGAAATATTGAAATAAGATACTCTTAACAAATATTCATAAACTTCAGACAAATAAAAAACCCACCCTGATGAGAATTATGGTAATAAAGATCTGAGAAGCCACAACGATGACAATCTCTTCCGGTTGTCGATATCACAGAAGCGTGCTTAGTATTAGAAAACACATCCAGAAGAACGCTAAGTAACGCTAATGTGAACACAATCTACCCCTATCCTGCCGGGTCACATTCAAGGCTAACACATTAAGCCTATTAGTATATCTGACCAAACATTCGTCCATCAACTTTCAACACTAACAACGGTAGATCCAACACTGTGTCGAGTTGTCGGCCACTAATACCCGTCCACACCCATCGGGGTGTCAAATGATCCTCGCTATTGTATGTAAATCAGGCCATTGTGTATCCTACCCTCTCCTCCAGCCCACATGGCTGACATCAAGACGTGTACAGAGCCCTTAAGAAAGATGTTTAAGTACAATATTAAGGAGGATGATGTGATTGTTGTTTCTGCTCAAGTAGTGACAATGATGCTAAGTGTTAATCTGTTTGTTGGGGCTGTAATTAAGAGTGTTAAATGACCATCTAGGTGTTTGTGTGCCAGGGTACCTTGCACAACTTCACTCAAGAGCTGTATGTTTTACAATTCAGTGTCAGTGATTGGTTGGTGGATGTCAGATTTGAAGTAAGCTACATCCCTGATGTGAAGATGTGCTGCTATTGGCCAGAGGTTGACTGAGTGACAATTGGGATGTACCGCGGCGTGAGTCCAGGGCCACATTGAGTTACTGGTCTTTGATTCCCTGTGTTCAGGAAGCAGCCGATAGAGGGACTTTACCCACATGCTACACTTTGACTTGCCTCATTTCACACATGTTTTCTCATCCTTGAGTTCAATTTTGTGAAGAACTTTATCTTTTGCAATTTCGCAATCAAGGACGTACAAGGAAGAACATTGAGGATTTATTCTGAGGATGGTTTGAGATTTTGAGACAGAAACGATAAAATCTTGTTTGAATTCGATTTGAATTATGTACGACCGGGCATATCAGTGGCCAAACCAGCAATGCCAATGGCAACAACAGCATCAGCAACCACAGCATCAGCAACATCAGCAGCAGAATACCCAGCCTGCAACTCCGACTGTCGTCATGCAGTCGGAAACTGCTGGTTACCCAAGCAACTACCATCCGCAGCAGACAGACCAACATGGCGGTCAGCTGGGACAGAGGAATCGGTCACTTCAGCCTGCTCAGAATAGTTATCGCACGTACCAGCGATATTACCCCCGAGGTTACAACAGTTCCAACTTTCCTAGTTTCCGATTCCGGTCCGACTGTCGCTATGCAAGTGCCAAGGCTTTGCAGGGACTTCTGACAAAAGGTAAGTGTATCACCCCAGTTTCCCCCCCCCCCCCCCCCCCCCCCCCCCCCAAGCTTGGCGGCTGCTGACTCCTGGCTGAGGGAGGGACGCAGCATCTCCAGGAATGTGGTCTCAGTCGGAACTAGCAGGATCGGAAATTAATTTTTCAAGACAAGTAGAAACCATATTTCACGAGCCCTTGTGGTTTGTAGTTTGTTCTTCTTGAAGAAGAAATATCTACTATGTTTGCATTTTCTGTTTTATTCAGTTCCAATTTGTAGTAAAACTGAAGAATTGAGACAGGCTCAGAATCGTACGTATCACCCAACTGCTAAGTAAGTCGGCAATGACAACTACCATTATGGAATTTTTATTTGTCCTCAGCATAATTTAGTAGTCATGGACTCGCATGGATTTCTAAGTCTGGTTTTAAAGGGGAGTCGCATAAGATGAGGTGCAGTGATAATACGAGGCAGTGCAATGGCAGATCCAGAGGGGGGGGGGGTCCAGGGGTCCTGGCTGTGGATTCCATTCTCCTTCGTCCTAGACCAGGAACGTCCTTGATGTTGCCATTATGTCTTGTAATTCATGGACACTCCTGTAATTCCCAGTATTGCCAAAGTTCATGGATGGCATACATGGATCTATACCCCACTGCCATGACGAGAGGATTTCTATGATTGTTAATTCAGTTCCTTGTACACGATCCTTGTAAAACCTCCCTTTTGGGATACAGAACATTTCAATGTTCAAATATCTTATCATGTTAAAAATCAGTTTTTGAATCGAAGCTGAATTTATAACAAATCAATATGCAACACAAGCCACATCAGTTTATAACCCAGCTCAAGCAAAAGGGAAAACAAATACTTGTTATAGACTGGGATCAGTTTGGTCTACAATGGCGCCACCTGGAGGTATAAGCACGTGCAGTTTGTACTTCATCTATGGGAGATGCTGAGTCAGGTCACTGTGTGTCAGCGGTCACTGTGAGGCTCACTGTCCTGGGTGTCAGCAGTCACTGTGAGGCTCACTGTCCTGGGTGTCAGCGGTCACTGTGAGGCTCACTGTCCTGGGTGTCAGCAGTCACTGTGAGGCTCACTGTCCTGGGTGTCAGCGGTCACTGTGAGGCTCACTGCCCTGGGTGTCAGCGGTCACTGTGAGGCTCACTGCCCTGGGTGTCAGCGGTCACTGTGAGGCTCACTGCCCTGGGTGTCAGCGGTCACTGTGAGGCTCACTGCCCTGGGTGTCAGCGGTCACTGTGAGGCTCACTGTCCTGGGTGTCAGTGGTCACTGTGAGGCTCACTGTCCTGGGTGTCAGCGGTCACTGTGAGGCTCACTGTCCTGGGTGTCAGCGGTCACTGTGAGGCTCACTGTCCTGGGTGTCAGCGGTCACTGTGAGGCTCACTGTCCTGGGTGTCAGCGGTCACTGTGAGGCTCACTGTCCTGGGTGTCAGCGGTCACTGTGAGGCTCACTGTCCTGGGTGTCAGCGGTCACTGTGAGGCTCACTGTCCTGGGTGTCAGTGGTCACTGTGAGGCTCACTGTCCTGGGTGTCAGCGGTCACTGTGAGGCTCACTGTCCTGGGTGTCAGCGGTCACTGTGAGGCTCACTGCCCTGGGTGTCAGCGGTCACCGTGAGACTCACTGTCCTGGGTGTCAGCGGTCACTGTGAGGCTCACTGTCCTGGGTGTCAGCGGTCACTGTGAGGCTCACTGTCCTGGGTGTCAGCCGTCAATGTTAGACTCACTGTCCTGGGTGTCAGCAGTCACTGTCCTGGGTGTCAGCGGTCACTGTGAGACTCACTGTCCTGGGTGTCAGCAGTCAATGTGAGGCTCACTGTCCTGGGTGTCAGCGGTCACTGTCCTGGGTGTCAGCGGTCACTGTGAGGCTCACTGTCCTGGGTTTCAGCAGTAACTGTGAGACTCACTGTCCTGGGTGTCAGCAGTCACTGTCCTGGGTGTCAGCGGTCACTGTGAGACTCACTGTCCTGGGTGTCAGCAGTCAATGTGAGGCTCACTGTCCTGGGTGTCAGCGGTCACTGTCCTGGGTGTCAGCGGTCACTGTGAGGCTCACTGTCCTGGGTGTCAGCGGTCACTGTGAGGCTCACTGTCCTGGGTGTCAGTGGTCACTGTGAGGCTCATTGTCCTGGGTGTCAGCGGTCACTGTGAGGCTCACTGTCCTGGGTGTCAGCGGTCACTGTGAGGCTCACTGTCCTGGGTGTCAGCGGTCACTGTGAGGCTCACTGTCCTGGGTGTCAGCGGTCACTGTGAGGCTCACTGTCCTGGGTGTCAGCGGTCACTGTGAGGCTCACTGTCCTGGGTGTCAGCGGTCACTGTGAGGCTCACTGTCCTGGGTGTCAGCGGTCACTGTGAGGCTCACTGTCCTGGGTGTCAGCGGTCACTGTGAGGCTCACTGTCCTGGGTGTCAGCGGTCACTGTGAGGCTCACTGTCCTGGGTGTCAGCGGTCACTGTGAGGCTCACTGCCCTGGGTGTCAGCGGTCACCGTGAGACTCACTGTCCTGGGTGTCAGCGGTCACTGTGAGGCTCACTGTCCTGGGTGTCAGCGGTCACTGTGAGGCTCACTGTCCTGGGTGTCAGCCGTCAATGTTAGACTCACTGTCCTGGGTGTCAGCAGTCACTGTCCTGGGTGTCAGCGGTCACTGTGAGACTCACTGTCCTGGGTGTCAGCAGTCAATGTGAGGCTCACTGTCCTGGGTGTCAGCGGTCACTGTCCTGGGTGTCAGCGGTCACTGTGAGGCTCACTGTCCTGGGTTTCAGCCGTCAATGTTAGACTCACTGTCCTGGGTGTCAGCAGTCACTGTCCTGGGTGTCAGCGGTCACTGTGAGACTCACTGTCCTGGGTGTCAGCAGTCAATGTGAGGCTCACTGTCCTGGGTGTCAGCGGTCACTGTCCTGGGTGTCAGCAGTCACTGTCCTGGGTGTCAGCGGTCACTGTGAGACTCACTGTCCTGGGTGTCAGCAGTCAATGTGAGGCTCACTGTCCTGGGTGTCAGCGGTCACTGTCCTGGGTGTCAGCGGTCACTGTGAGGCTCACTGTCCTGGGTGTCAGCGGTCACTGTGAGGCTCACTGTCCTGGGTGTCAGTGGTCACTGTGAGGCTCATTGTCCTGGGTGTCAGCGGTCACTGTGAGGCTCACTGTCCTGGGTGTCAGCGGTCACTGTGAGGCTCACTGTCCTGGGTGTCAGCGGTCACTGTGAGGCTCACTGTCCTGGGTGTCAGCGTTATTAAGTATATTCAGGTTCTGCACAGGCTTGGGCGGTCGGGTAGCCTATTGGTTAATGCATTCGCTCCTCATGCCAATGACCCGGGTTCGATTCCCGACATGGGTACAATGTGTGAAGCCCATTTCTGTTGACACAGGGCAGTCAGGTAGCCTTGTGGTTAAAGCGTTCACTCATCACGCCAAAGACCTGGGTTTGATTCCCTGCCATGATACTGCTGGGATATTGCTAAAAGCAACACTGATCATGCTGCAAGGATAGTTTATGAATAGCTGTACTGAAGCATATCAAATCTATTATCTCAAAAGAAGATAAAAAACACTATTATTTCATATTACTATAGTTAATCTGTCATCAGGTGTTTTTTAACTTCTTTTGAGTATTGTCTGCGGATATCATTGTTATTCACAGATGATTGTTGAAGAGTAACCTTTCTGTCACATTATTGAAACATGGATATAGTTCGGTAGACTTGCACAAGTCTGTAAGGCAATATTTATCAGTTTAAATCATTATTTCTAGATTAAGCAATTAGAACAAGTTGTCCCTATAAGGGACTTGAGTCACATGTCAGAGATTTGCCTATTAGGAGAATAGAATTACTTAACATCCATGGACTTATATTTCAATAGCATGGCTGCAGCTTTCATTGTTTATCACAGATGATCTGGTAACAATATAATTTTAATGTTACATCACTGAAACAATTACAAGCTACAGATAGCCATCATTATCAACCTCAGATGATGGACTACAAGAATGTACTTACAACTTTATGCAACATATCAAACATAGTGTGGCTGCAGATATAGGTAACATTAGTCACTGATGATGTGGTAGGAGCGTCACTATTGATACGTTTAATTGGCTCCCCCGCATCCCATGTCTGCCTGTCTGTCCTGGTCACGGAGTCCATCGCTTGCGTCTTGCTGCAGATGAATCAGCTGGGGAAGGAAGCTTCATTGATGTCACTCGCTTGGAGACTGTGTTGTCCTGGCGGCTCTGTGAATGAAACTGTTTCACTTTGATGTGCTATATTGAGGATATCATTTGGGGTATCAGTTAATTATTGGTGTTAATTCTGTGTTATTTGTTAACAAAGGAACGTCATTGCTAACAATAGTCCATTCATTGTGTAATGTGATTGTTCTGTAGGGACTCGGGGACAGACAAACCATGGGTTGATAGCATGAGCAATGATCAGGACACAATGTGATGCTACCAGATACTCTGAAGACCACTGAGTAGTGCTGGGCTGTCTCCTTCAGAGTCATGTTTTATAACTGAGAGATCACTTAACCTTAATGAGTACAGGTATTCCCGTGAAGATCTGGGGTGGAATAGGTCTTCATCTACCCATGCTTGCCGTAAGAGGCAACTACCCTTGTCGTAAGAGGCAACTACCCTTGTCGTAAGAGGCAACTACCCTTGTCGTAAGAGGCAACTACCCTTGTCGTAAGAGGCGACTCCCCTTGTCGTAAGAGGCGACTAACAGGATTGGGGGGTCAGACTTGCTGACTTGGTTGATGCATGTCATTGTATCCCAGTTGCGTGGATCGATGCTCACGATGTCAATCATTGGATTGTCTGGTCTAGATTTGATTAATTCCAGACCGCCGTCATATAGCTGGAATATTGCTGAGTGTGGCGTTAAACAACAACAAACAAGCAAACAAACAAAGTGAGGTATTCCCGAGGAAGGTGTCCCCGTTCCCTGACAAGAGACACCTCACCCAGCTGTGTAATGAGGCAGCTCTAGGTCGTCGTTTCCTCCACCAGACTTAGTCATTATTTCAGAAGTTTTATTTCTTTTTAGGGAGACAACGTAATATCTGACAATATTTTGTTGTTTTGAAACCTAGCTCTTGTTTAGAAAATTCTGTTATCAAGTACATATCTTAGTCTGGTGAATAACACTCATATAGTACTACATCAAGTTGTGCCCAAACTGTGCTGTGTGTTATTGTCTTTTAACAAACAGTGGGGTTTCTGATGAGGATAACGGGAAGATGTGTGACTAGACCCAGGTGCTTGGGACAAGTGACTAAAGTCACAGACTGCTATATATGACTCCCATGCCAGATCCTGTATTGGGGGAAATGTACGTTAATACTCTCCTGCACTTTAACCCACCCCCAAAGATGAGGATGGAAAATAACTGGCATTGAGGACTATTATTTGTGTTAATGAACAGCAGCCCCCCTCCCCCCTCCCCCTGTGTGGCAGCAGCAGTGGCGGGATGATCTTAGGTAGACGGATGATGCCTGTCCCCGTTGCCGCAGGATGTGATATAGCTATTATTCCTTCACTACAGTAAATATGTTTCCTGACCTCCATGTAGGAGCTGGTGTTCCCACGTATAAATTTAGACTTGTGTATTAACAATACAGGATTTTTGGCCCACATGTTTAAAAGACAATATGTTCACGTGATATGACTGTGATTCCTTGTAAAAGTGCAGATGGTGATCACATTCCAGGTTTATGATGCACACTCACCCACTCACCCCGACCGAAACCTGGGGAGCTGCAGACCCCATCTTTATTAAGCATAATTTAATTGTCATGTTTATAAATTATAACATATGCTTACCATCTTATTATATACTCACTGACAAAAGAAACGTGTATACCATGCGTTTTGGTTAATATATGAAGAATTACTCGTATTCAAGAGATATAAGATTGGTTCGATGCACAAACCAATATACCTTTATGTTACGTGAACCGTTCTTAACATACATACTTCTTTACATGTTTCTATGATTCTCGTTAATTTTTGTGTTGAGAATATATGCATTATTAGTCAACACAGGTTGAAATAATAAACTGAATCAATGCATGTGTCATGACTATAAATGGCACTATTCCGAGACAACAGATCAAACTAGGCACCAAGGTTTTCAAACAGATTTTACAAAATGACATTCAGGAAAATCACTTAGAATCTCAGTGTTGTCATTGAAAAATTAATACTTTAATTTGCCAAAGCAATATATTGCTTTTCTCATCTAGTTTATGAAAAGGATATATTAACATTTATGACAAAATTTTGTTTGCCCACTTGCTAAGCTGTCCCATTGTGAATCCTGTATTGTGTTGATAAACATTAGTTCATCTTCTTCTTGCTTCTTAATCTGCTAGTTTTCTCCTCTTTTACTACTGATGGTCAAGAGGCCTTGTTTATAAGACCAATGAGATATATGTTGCCAGTTTCCTGTCGGAACCAAGTTTAAGTAGGTAAAAGAGCCTGATTGTAGATATCCGTATGTCAATGTTGTGTAAGAGTTAGTTAAACACCAACGTTTAATGTCAATAGGAGTTGTAAGGATATCTGTCAAGATGGCCGCTTCCGCTGCTCGGTCCCTCTGGGGTATCAAGTACTTCTATGCCGTGATGCATGACTCTCTGCTCAACTTCAGCTTTGCTCAAGATTATGTATATTAGATTGGTAGAATTAAACCTGTACTCCTCAACAAATTGTGGAACTGCAGCGATGGTGTCACAGTTATCTCCCCTTACCGAGCAAGTGTGGGAGATATCTCTCCTACAGACCCCGGAACGAAAACCTCCAATCAATCCCAAGCTACTCTACACTATAGAGTTGAAGATACAAGTGTCTGTCAGATACCATTTATCTTACGAGTTGTTTCAAAACATATCTAACAAGCGAAAGCGAGTAAGCTATGCTTTGAAACAACGAGTTGTTTATAAATAGTGTCTGACAGGCCCGAGTGCAGTAATCGGTTTCTTACACATCCTAAAATCACACCTTTTGAACAACAAATCGATGCATTTTATCCTCATCACCCGACGTCCATGGCGCGTTAAACAATGCGATGGTCACGAGTGACGCCATCTGACATACTGCTTACTACTCATAAATGATGTGACCCTACACAAAATGGTTCCCGCCATATCTGTGGATTATCAAGGTGATGATGATAATGCAAACTAGATAAGATTAAAGAACATGTATTGACCCACTTGATGCTGAGTTCATAATTTTCACCTCAAAGTAATTACCAAATATGTACAACATTGTTCACTTTTGTGTGACATCACTACCGATGACCGACTTTACAAAATAGCGCAGTTCGTAGGATTTTAAGAGGAGCATTTACTTTGATCGAGGGATCGTATTTACATAGATGTGTCATGTAAGTAATCAGAAACAATCTGACAATCTTCGTACTGTTATGTTTTTATTAAAGTTTTCCAATGTAACCAAGAGAATTAGTCAGAAATGCAGATTACTACCGTCGTCGTTGTGTGTGACTTTGCGTCTGTCATAGCGTCACACAGGATGGAAACTTTTATGATTTCTGTTAAATTTACCTACTCATTGTAATGAATATATTTTTTATAGCATAATTCGTGCTACGAAACTCTTCCATGAATATTGTCAGTGAGCCAGAGGGAGTCAAAGTAAGCCAATGTATGCACCAGTTACATGAATGGATCTCTCAAAATAGGAGAAAATGCTACACAGTGTAAAATCTGGTTTTTGCTTTGTTTACATTTCAAACAAGTACAGTTTTCCGATCACAGTGTTTGTTTCCACACCTTGTTTATTTCACTTGATTTCATGGAGATACTGGTAGATAATTTGTAGTGGTGACAAAGACCATTTGCCTTATGATACTAAAATGTATGAAGAATTCAGAGATGTATGTATTGTATTATAAATATATACGTGATCCAATATGTGAAACAAAATTATGTAAACACTATACAATATGCCGGAAAGTGCACTTTGGGGTTTGTGTTTGCATATTTTCCAAAACATTCTAAACAATTCTAGGCTTATCAGCGACGTTTCAGAAGTAACATTAGTGATTTGATGAAAAACAGATACCCGTGATCACTAATATTCGAGTAAATATCCGATAATTTGATTTTTAAACATACAGTAATTTAAAATGCCATGAATAGTGATTTAGTAATGTATAAAAAATTGCAAGATTTCTCATGGACCTAATTTTTAGTGGTCAGTTTTCAGCAATTTTGATTTGCCTAAACTGACAGTGGATCATATCACAGAACAGGGAATTTCCCACAGAATTCACCCTCTGAAGTGTATTAGTGTGCTTGATGTAATTTAATTTGACTTGGAAGTGAGGGTTGATGAGGAGGGACATATCTGTCGCTGTGGCATCCAGGCGGTAACACTCTAAACCAAAATGTTCAACACAGACGTGGGTGAACATTCATCTTAAGCACAGGTAACTTATCAATGACTTATGATCAGGAAAGTAGTCGTCAGGTCATCACTATGGAGTAGCCAATCACAGGCCTGGAATTTGATCTCATGCATGTTTCATACCAGATATCTCAAAAGTGTTTCCAACCCACAGGTGTGTAAGAAACAACAAATCTAGACTTCTTCAGTTTCTGAAAATGAAGAAATTCTCTGGTTCTTGCTAGTTTTGTGTTATAAGAAAGTTTAACAAAATATATCTGACACTGATTTCAATCAGGGACTAATTGTCAGCCCATTGTTATTTGAGTCCCAGTCCCAGTCCTGCCCCCATAACAGTGGAGTATGTGTCGGATCAGCTGTGGTTGTGCTTCAACATTGGCAAGATAGAGGGTGGCCTAAGTGACCACCTTGGTGAATTAAAGTAAATAGAGTGTCCGCTCGGAAACTGGAAGATTGGTGGTTCAGTCCCCAGATGGTACTTGTTGTTACCCTCTCCCCCCCCCTCTCTCTCTCTCTCTCTCTCTCTCTCTCTCTCTCTCTCTCTCTCTCTCTCTCTCTCACTTACTCACTCACTTTTTGAGTGCAGTAAGCTCTGTCAGCACTACTTCATCTACATCACTACAGCCTGTAAATAGTCAGATTGGAAACCCAAACCAGTGGTTGATGGCATGAGCAACGGCCACCTGGGCTTATGAATGCGATCAGGTCACACATTGTAATTACCCATTCCCAATCAGACTTGGCTAATGTGACAAGTACGGGGTACTGGGGAGCTTGTACTCATACTTTCTTAGCCCTCATTATTTTCCCACAGATTTATTAGGGAAGGAAATACCAGCATGCAAGGAACATACTAGTGAAAACACTGTCAGACATTGGTGCTAGGTTCCTGCTACAGTCCAGTCACACGCCTCTCTATTGTTGCCCAATAAAGGATTACAACATGCTCACAGTCAATTCTGGGGGCACGATTGGCCCAGTCGTCTAAGGCGCCGTGATTCGCTGTTCAGCTGTCCCTTGGGCATAGAAACCTATGATTGTGGATTCGATTACCGGTTCACCCTGATTATACTTCTAGGTTTGTCAGCACCATACCCGTGCTTGTGGGTTTCACCGAAGTGATAAACATCACCTCAGGCTTTCCTACCACATAAGCTACCACGCCGTGATATAACTGGAATACTGTTAAAATCGGTGTTAAACCCAACTCACTCACTCACTCACTCACTCACTCACTCACTCACTCACAGTCAAGTCTAATTTGAACATTTACAAATCTGTGCATACATCAAGTCCTACTACATCAAGACATCTGGGCAACACAGACCCATTTAAAAGATTGATGACTTGCAGCTTTTATCAAGGTTATGTAAATAGCCAGGCAAAACTCAATGCAACAATATATTACCTACTTCTAACTTGTCTTGATCTGCCGTGTAGTCACATGATCTCTGTGAGGTCGGACAGTGAAGGGGATAGGCATGTTTTACATCTGCTTCCAACTGCCATTATGTATATGGAAGAGACATCACCTTCTCTGACCCCGCCACAATGCATGGACGGGAGAAGGCTGCCCGCTTGACCCACACTCCAGCATACAGGGGGGCTGACTGTGGGCTGTTCTGAGAAGCGAGTTACCCATGGCTGGTGTTGGTCTCCTGATGTGTCAGACCAGCCTGTCATTAGTACCACAGGAATTGGAAGACGGACATATAAATAACAGTCAATAATCTGTGTTGGGAAAAGGGACACTGACAGAATAGCAGAAAGTATGGTGAGACATTACATTCAGGGCATCTGTTAGTGGACTTGTAGGAGCATCCAGCACTAGTGGCACACCTGTACAGGTAAATGCATGGGCTGGGAGATATTGACTTTGTTTGATTCCTGTGAGTTTTTCATGTGAAGAGATTACTCCCCTGAATCACAGTGATTGTTAATACCTCAAAATCTGCATCAAGATTTACAAATATACATCATGGACCAATTTGTGATGAAGACATATCAAAGACGAGTTCCCGACTTCTAAGGACAATATGTGAGTGAACCAGCTTGAATAGGATTCCCTGAACCAGCTCTCATGTCCGTAGGTCTGTGTGTTCCAAGTATACAGTTGTGTTGCACATGGAGACGGGTTGTACAGTTGATTGTTGTCACTCCCAGCACTGCTTTATTCCTGCGTGTGATACGAGATATATTCACTACTTTAATGTGTCAGTACTTGACTGTATTCTGGGGCAACCGTCTTGTGTCATGAAAGAGCCTTGAACAATTTCACAACACCAATGAGTCCGAATAACTTGACCAAATAATTATTCTTCATGTTGTGTCATGAATCAGCTGATGGGAGATATTCAACTCATTAGATGGTTACAGCAGGGATTTAAGTGTCTTTTTCTGTCATCAGCACATGGAAGATTTGTTACAGAAAGGCATGTCTTGCACAATATTTCAAACAATTAGCAATCTGTGATAGCAGCAGTCACAGAGACTGTGAATTATGCAGTTACTTCTCACACATTTCAGTATGCAAACTGGCTATTTCAAGGCCGATATTCCAAAGGTGGTAAAGTCACGCAAAATGCTTAGGTTTGTTTCTTAGCGGGTAATTTTGGCAACAGTGTGATGTCATGGCCAATAGATGGCTAATATCTTTATTACGACTTGTGATTATTGGAGCCATAATGAAATTGATAACAAGCCGATGGACGAGTTGTGATGTATGTGTGGTGGTTATCTGATTGTTCGACCAGCTTGTCAGGGTGACAGCATGTCGTGTGATATCTCCATCTCATGTCGGGAAATGTACTCCAAACTGCTCGGACAGGACAGCATGGACTTCTGCTTCGACTGGGAGAACGCCGCACCCATACAGTTCGAAGAAGGTGAACCAGGTCATGCTTTAAAACTCATCCATATGCACTTTCATTTGTATTGATGTTTCACTTTATGATGATTTTGTTTTTTGTCATACTGTGAATGTATGCATTATATAGGTGATACTGTGAGCAGTGTGTAGATTTGTGTAGCTGGCTGCTGGTGCCTTGACATGGTGTATTTTGTTTTATTTGTTGTTTAACGCCGCACTCAGCAATATTCAAGCTACATGACGGCGATCTGTAAATAATCGAGTCTGGACTAGACAATCCAGTGATTGACATCATGAGCATCGATCCACATCGATCCATGCAATTGAAACACAATCAACCAAGTCAATGCGCCTCATGCCACCCGATCCCGTTTGTCGCCTCTTACAACAAGCACAGTGCCTTATACGGCAAGCATGGGTTGCAGAAGACCTATTCAACCCTGGTCCTTCACAGGTGTGTCATTGTGATAACTGCAGGCTACAGGATGTATTGGTGTATAATTAGCTGGTGATTACGGTTCATATTTCATGTTCACTGGATGAATGGGTTGCTGTAGGTTAACTGGATTTTAACCTCCAGTGAGGTTCAGGCCTGGAGCAGGTGAACCGGGGACTGGGAGCACTCACCTGTCTTGTCAGTGTACCACCTGTCCTGTCAGTGTACCACCTGTCCTGTCAGTGTACCACCTGTCTTGTTAGTGTACCACCTGTCTTGTCAGTGTACCACTTGCCCTGTCAGTGTACCACCTGTCTTGTCAGTGTACCACCTGTCCTGTCAGTGTACCACCTGTCCTGTCAGTGTACCACCTGTCTTGTTAGTGTACCACCTGTCTTGTTAGTGTACCACCTGTCCTGTCAGTGTACCACTTGTCCTGTCAGTGTACCACCTGTCTTGTTAGTGTACCACCTGTCTTGTTAGTGTACCAGCTGTCTTGTCAGTGTACCACTTGTCCTGTCAGTGTACCACCTGTCTTGTCAGTGTACCACCTGTCCTGTCAGTGTACCACCTGTCCACCTGTCTTGTTAGTGTACCACCTGTCTTGTCAGTGTACCACTTGTCCTGTCAGTGTACCACCTGTCTTGTCAGTGTACCACCTGTCCTGTCAGTGTACCACCTGTCCTGTCAGTGTACCACCTGTCCTGTCTTGTCAGTGTACCACCTGTCCTGTCAGTGTACCACCTGTCTTGTCAGTGTACCACCTGTCCTGTCAGTGTACCACTTGTCCTGTCACTGTACCACCTGTACCACCTGTCTTGTCAGTGTACCACCTGTCTTGTCAGTGTACCACCTGTACCACCTGTCTTGTCAGTGTACCACCTGTCCTGTCAGTGTACCACCTGTCTTGTTAGTGTACCACCTATCCTGTGAGTGTACCACCTGTCCTGTCAGTGTACCACCTGTCTTGTTAGTGTACCACCTGTCTTGTTAGTGTACCACCTGTCTTATTAGTATACCACCTGTCTTGTCAGTGTACCACCTGTCCTGTCAGTGTACCACCTGTCCTGTCAGTGTACCACCTGTCTTGTCAGTGTACCACCTGTCCTGTCAGTGTACCACCTGTCTTGTCAGTGTACCACCTGTCCTGTCAGTGTACCACCTGTCCTGTCAGTGTACCACCTGTCCTGTCAGTGTACCACCTGTCTTGTTAGTGTCCCACCTGTACCACCTGTCTTGTCAGTGTACCACCTGTCTTGTTAGTGTCCCACCTGTACCACCTGTCCTGTCAGTGTACCACCTGTCCTGTCAGTGTACCATCTGTCCTGTCAGTGTACCACCTGTCCTGTCAGTGTACCACCTGTCCTGTCAGTGTACCACCTGTCCTGTCAGTGTACCACCTGTCTTGTTAGTGTCCCACCTGTACCACCTGTCTTGTCAGTGTACCACCTGTCTTGTTAGTGTCCCACCTGTACCACCTGTCCTGTCAGTGTACCACCTGTCCTGTCAGAGTACCACCTGTCCTGTCAGTGTACCACCTGTCCTGTCAGTGTACCACATGAGAACTATTCAAGTCAACCGACACCTTTCTTCGGATTAGTTGCCTAGGATCAATTGGTGAAGTCACAGGTGGATGATATTGTAGTCCTGTGATTTTGCAGTGTTGTAGTGGCATCGTGGTGTCCCATCACCTTGACTAGCTGCAGGCGTACTGTGCATCATAATGCACATCTTCCTGAGGCAAGGGCGTTAACTGATTGTTAGAGTGGCAATTATGAGTTATGTCCCTTCTATAACCCTCTTATTGACCAATCAGATTCCACCTCTCATATCACTGCATTTGCTTTAAATATATAGTGACACCCAGTCAAGACGATCTGATCGATAATCAACATCTTTATTGCAATAAAATGGGCCCTACCTTGTGAAGTACATGAAATCACTTGAGCACCTTGATTCAGAACATGAAGAGATTTTGACCCTCGAGTTAGGGAACACATGCTCTGCAAATCCTCCAATTGACCGAAGTTGCCATGTTTGCACACCATGTTTCGATTTCATTATGCGATTTTGATTGGACTATGCATAGACTCATTAGTCCAGCCAAAATATGACTCCATGATTCCAGCCTAGTTCGGCAAAGGTAGAAAATGGACTTTTATAGTCGGTTAAATCCCTTGCCTCGGGAAGATGTCACAAAGCCAGATGTATTTGCTTAGTGTGAAGGCGTGTGACCATGCTAGTTAGTAGACATACATTATCAGCCCCATGAGTGCATGATCAGCATACTTCGTGGTCATCTGCCTGTTAGTACACTGCCTGTGTTTTGATGTGAGATAAGGCTATTTGCAGAAAGTTACAACATTTTTATTATGTGTTTGTATCATTATCTATCACTTACCTAATTTTGTGTATCCAACATGCTTGTTTATCAAACAAAATCATATGCAACCATATGTTGGATTAACGGGACTTGACTGTATTTGCAGGCTCCATCTAAATGAAATCTCCGATTTTCATCCCTAATTGTGATTTCCTCACAAATAAAACAACTGAGACACCCTGACTGACTGTAGCTTGTGTAATTCAAAGCAGCATTAAACCCAACCCCTTCCACAGTGTTGTGTAGGATGACTGTACCCATTCGGCCATTCGGACTGTTTGCAGTCAAGTAGTGAGTGAGTGAGTGATTTTGATTTTGCGCCGCTTTTAGCAATATTCCAGCAATATCACAGCGGGAACACCAGAAATGGGCTTCACACATTGGACCCATTTTTGGAATCGAACCCAGGTCTTCGGCGTGACAAGCGAACGCTTTAACCAATAGGCTACCCGACCACCCCTTCAATCAAGTACGTAATTATCAAGGGCAAGCACCTGTGACAGAACTGTGACTCTACAAGATGACCCTCCAGGGGTTAAGATCTGGGTCGCTGGGTGCACTACGCTCTTATCAGGAAAGTCGGACAAAACTTTGACTTGCGACAACTGATTGGCACCCTCGTAATCTCGCCAGACGTTTCGTACACAGTATGTTGATCATGTTGATGGCTGTTCATGCATGTACTCACTTACTTTCGACTTGTGAAGATCTGCGGTAGAATAGGTGCAGCAACCCATGCTTGCCGTAAAAGGCGACTATGCTTGTTGTAACATGCTCACTGACTTGGTTGATCCATGTCATCGTATCCCAACTGCGTGGATAGATGCTCATGATGTCAATCACTGGACTGTCTAGTCCAGACTCGATTATTTACAGACCACCGTCATATAGCTGAAATATTGCTGAGTGCGGGATTAAGCAACAAACAAACAAACAAACAAATCACTTACTTTCAGTTTGTGAAAATATCAGCAGGATGCCACAAAGGCCAATTTGCTGTCCTAGCAAGTTTCATTTCAGACATTCAGACCTGACCCACTCTGCCAACTTGGTGTAATTATTTATGTCAATCTAGAAGTTACTGGTTGCCCAAATTACACAGAGGGCCTTCACCTCTATGGTCTAAGGGATAGAGTCTCTGCCTGGAGAATGGATTGTGGCTGGTTCGATCCCTGGCTTCCTCATACCAATAGACATAAAGATGGTACTTGTTGTTACCCTGCCTGGTGCTGATGACCTTGTGAACTACTTGTACCATTAGGTAGACAGCATCTCAGTAGCAGATCATTGTTGCTTTCAAAAATGAAAAATAATAATTTCTAACCCTGAGCATCAGTCTCTATTAATGAGTTTCATTTTACATACAATATTATCTCAATTATCTGCATATTTGGTAAACTTGTATGAATAGGTATTCATAACTAATTTGACTTGATAACATGTAGTTCATTATGAATTGAGTTTAACTAACACAGACAATAAGAAGACTACAATAGATCATTTCATCTTACGAGCCAGAGGCCACAACCTGACTTTCTTTGTCAAGTAATTAATATCAAGTGTCAGCCTGGTAGAATCAGTGTAAGCACAGACTTTGATAGGTTTAATCTGTCTTTCCATAGCAGTTGTGGGTTTGAATACCTGCTTGATCTGATGATGTTTCTATGATATAGCTATGATTTAACTGAAATTGTGTTCAAAGCTGTTGTCAAACCCAACTCACTTCATCAAATTCTAACAGTAAGTTTGTGCAGTGTACAGCTAAGCCTCAGTGCCGCCAGCGAGTACCTGGCCAGTAATCCCAGGTGTGTAGCATAGTACCATGACTTATAGCCTACGTCTGACCGACTGGCAGATGTGTGTCAGACAACTCTTCACCCGACCTGACCAGGTCATTCCCATGCAGAGCATCCAGGCAAGCATGTACACGGAGGAGGGTCTTTAGGGGGAGTACATGTAGTCTTGTGAGGAGGCATTGTACACACTACCAAAATCAACTTACTTTTATTGGACATTATAATTTGCTCTGTATTAGAACTGAATTTAAAAATATGTTTTGAAAAAAATAATTATCATGACTACCCAACTTGTCAAAGCAGTTTATTTGAAACCACAAGATGACTTGATTGAAGTGTTTTATTAGTGTAATTACAGATCATTGATACGCCATAATGCCATATACCTTGTCCTTATTCAGAGGCAGATTTACTGTTATGATGAAGTCTACGTGTACAGTTATTGATATGCTTTGACTTAAATATTAGAGCCATATGTTAAGAGAGTGAAATTGGATTGAAAGCAGTTTTAAAGATTCTTTGTAATGGATGATGGTTTTGGACACAAACTGTTCCATGGGTAAGTTTGGTAGCCTGGTGGTTAAGGTGTTCATCTAAAAGTCTAGGTTCAGTTCCCTAAATGGTTACATTGTGTGAATACCTTCATCCCCAACTGTGCTACAGGTGGACTATTGCTGGAAGGCCATGCTGTTCTCTGTCATGCTGTGTTCAGGTATTGCTGTTACTGTGTAGGAACTAGGGAAGTGGTCAGGTATTGCTGTTACTGTGTAGGAACTAGGGAAGTGGTCAGGTATTGCTGTTACTGTGTAGGAACTAGGGAAGTGGTCAGGTATTGCTGTTACTGTGTAGGAACTAGGGAAATGGTCAGGTATTGCTGTTACTGTGTAGGAACTAGGGAAATGGTCAGGTATTGCTGTTACTGTGTAGGAACTAGGGAAGTGGTCAGGTATTGCTGTTACTGTGTAGGAACTAGGGAAGTGGTCAGGTATTGCTGTTACTGTGTAGGAACTAGGGAAATGGTTGGGATTTGGTCACATGTGGAGCCTCACCTGAACAGGTGTGTATGGTATTTATAGGAGCAAGCACCTGCTTCTGGGAGGGGAGAGATTGGAGCAGGGGTCAGTCAACTCTCCAGGAAATGTAGACTTGTAGCTGTAGATCTACAGCATGCCATCAGCAAAGTGTCATGGTAACAAATGGCTCACCTGTGTGAACGTTTACCTGTGGGGAAGGAACACACTGTATATCTAGAAACCAGAAATTAGTGGTATTTTGATGAGGTCTATTTAGAATGTGAGACAAAGGGTTCACAGCGGCACTATGGATGTGTAGACAGTTGGTTCAGATCAATGACTGGATCACGTCTCACATCCACATGAGCCCAGAGGCTAAAAACTAGCGGTACTTTCGGGGCTTGCTTCCTTGTGATATTCATAAGTGGATACGTTATCTCACACTTCACCCCCTGAAACGTGTACAGGACAATAAGGAGATTATGCATCTGTAAAGGAAGACGGCGGTGTATCTGGTCGCTGTTTCTATATAAATGGTCGCTGTTTCTATATAAATGGTCGCTGTTTCTATATAAACGGTCAGGGTTTCTATATAAATGGTTGCTGTTTTTTTATATAAACGGTCGTGGTTTCTATATAAATGGTTGCTGTTTTATTATATAAATGGTCGTTGTTTCTATATAAATGGTCGCTGTTTCTATATAAACAGTCACTGTTTCCATATAAACGGCCACTGTTTCTATATGAAGGCAGCTAGTTGTTGAACTTTTTGAATGAAAAGTAGATTGAAAGTGTAATATGCAGAGTTGTCTCCCTTAGTTGTCAAGCTCCCTGTTATGGGTTTGAATCTTATATTGTTGCTGCTGCTGATGCTTTGTCCACCACTCTGCTCGGTGGTTTCACCAGTGATGTAAGTCTGCGGTCTGCGCTGTTTTAGCTTCTCTGACGCCATGTTGAAATAGAATAAAAAGAGAAGTAGGTTGAAAGGTGACTGAACAATCAACAACAGGTAGAAATAGGATATTTTGACTCGTTTCTAGGTAGATAGGTAGACCCTGTGTGGAACAAGTACTGCCATGCCCAAACGGGTTGAGTCAATAGTGTCAGCTGTATAAGTCGTGTTTGCAAAACTGTTGAGAAGTGACGTGCATGCCACCATCACCGAGTGCAGTTGCTAGAAATACTACACTTCTGTAGCGTATGTAGGAGTTGTAAATAATACATATGTATATATATGCTACACTTTTGATAGGGATGGGTTTTTTATTACTCAAAACTGATTCTCTTAATATGTCAAGTGTATATATATATAGAGAATCTTAACCGAGTGTCTTTTGATATCAAATATATTAACACAAGTTGATAAAAGTGGGAAAACTCCAAGGCTGAGACATGAGGGTGATATTATATTTATCATCCAACGTCATTCTTCCAACTTTTCACTCACTCACTCACTCACTCACTCACTCACTCACTCTGTAGGATATACGTAGTCCATGATCCATGTTCTGATCGGTTTAAATGTTTGATCCATATTCAGAAAATGACAAATGCCTCTATTTTTACGTAAATGTGTTTTGTATTTTAGCACAAGACCATTTCACACAATGTTATATAACACAAGATATTTGCCTAATTCTTGTACGTATTTAGGTATGACAAAGATATGGCATGATATATTTGGTAATATTAGCCTAGACTGAACCAGTGTGTATTCCCTCCGGTCGTATTGAAGAGCTGTCCATCATTTGACTGTGACACCAGTTTGCTTGTCACGAAATGTTAACTCAAATATTTGCTCTTTTCCTACCCAAGTTTTTAAAACGGTTTAGATTGTGACTTTAAAAATATTTTTAGAATGGAAAAGAAAAGGTCTGAAGATATCGTAAATATGTTTTCTAATTCAGTTTGATAAAGTTTGGACATTATTTGTAGCAGTGTTAATATTTTCCACTAATCTTCATAGCGAACCCTGCCGGGAATTAACCGGTGTGCATGAATGAGCCCGTATGTGTAATGTCCTTAGGGACAGCAGCGTATGGATGTTTCTGTCGGGGCATGGATGTTCTAGTGGTCTGCCAAAACTCATAGGGCGGAGTTGTGTCCCTTAGCGGTCCAGATCCCATGGTTCTGGGTTCGAATCCCAGGTAATCGCTGATGATGATCCTAGTTCCACGACCACCAACTGTTTGTTGGTTTCACCAGTAATAAAAGTCTGCTACTTGCATATTTCTGTCACATACTATGCTGTCAAGCATTACACAACTTTAATGTTTTTGTAAATGACATTAAGCTGTGTCCCAAGCTTAAACTGAAAAAACAACAAATGTTTTGTTCTTGTTTATAATGATGATTTAAGGAGATGTAGGATGCTTTTTTTTTAACAAATTTGTTTGTTATGGTAGTCGTGTGTCAACAGTCATTGACCTAGTATGTGTTGTATATTGTTCTCTCCTGTTCAACAAGGGATCCACATGTACGTGTTTATTAAATATGTCTTGTCAAAGCAGAGCCACTGGATTCTGAGTCAGAGGCAGAATGGTGTTAGTGACATACAATGGTGAACAAAGCATATGCTATATGTGTCAACATGGAGCCTACATAAAAAGGTTGAAAACATCATGTGATATGAACAATAATGTCACCCATTGAGTCACAAGGGAATATATGTGGGTTTGTGAGGTCATACATGTCACACATGTTGAAGATGGAAAGTATCTTTTTAAATAAATTGAAAATACCCTTTCATTTAGAGTTATTATAAAATAACTGCATCTAGTTATATATTAAATCCTTTGTTGAACTATGCAATCCTCTTACATTAAATTATGTTCAGATCCTTGTCTCAATGTCTGAGATACCAGCCTTTACTAAGTGTCTATGTTGGCGCTACCCAGGCTACACATTCCCCTGTGTGAAAGACAGACCCATGCATCGATGCTATACAACTGAATCTTATGTTGGAATGAGGGGAGATGTGTTGTAGTCAGAAGTAGTGAGGCATTTCACAGTTCACTTGGCTTGAACCATCTTCCGGAGTCAAGGGAGTTAACTGACTGTAAAAGTCCAGTTTCCACCCTTGCTGAACGAGGCTAGAATTTCTGGGCTCAATCATAGCGCCACCAATGGCAAAATGTGTTATGTCCCTCACTTCTAATCCCCTCCTATTAACCAATCAGGTTCCACTTCTTATATCACTTGCGTTGTTTAATGCTGCACTCAGCAATATTCCAGCTGTATGACGGCGGTCTGTAAATAATCAAGTCTGGACCAGACAATCCAGTGATTGACATCATGAGCATCGATCCACACAATTGGAATACGATGACATGTATCAACCAAGACAGCGAACCTGACCACTCCATCCCGTTGGTCGCCTCTTACCGCAAGCATAGTTGCCTCTTACCGCAAGCTTGGTTTGCTGAAGACCTATTCTACCCCGGATCTTGACAGGTGGGCTGCTGTGGGCCAAGTTAGCACAGCAACCACCGGACTGCCCACTGCTGCTGTGACACTGTATACAGAACTACAGCATCGACCCTGCTGACAGCCTGTAGCAATACATACATGTTAATCATGATATCAGTGCTTGTAGTCTGACGGTTTATTCACTGAAACTTTGTCTTTTACAGATTCTGACTGTGGAACAGGGGACAGCTCAGGTCAACAGTTCTCAGGTGAGTAGGGGCTTGTGGTTAAAGTGTTCACTCGTCACGTCGAAGCCCCGGGTTCGATTCCCCACATGGGTACAATGTGTGAAGCCCATTTCTAGTGTCTCCGGCCGTGATATTGCTGGAATATTGCTAAAAGCAGAGTAAAACCATGCTCGCTCGCTCACTCACTCACTCACTCACTCACTCACTCACTCACTCACTCACTCTCAGGTGAGTTAATATATCAAGAGTACTGTGGCTTGGTTGGGGCCATATCCTCTAAGGCAGTGAAGGAAACCAGCAATCTGCAATATTAACTGTTCTTATGTTGGTTTCTGAGGAAATGGCTTGAGAATTATGAAATAAAAAAAAGCTGGAATAGATCTAATAATGACTGTACCAGGTAGGTGTCTACTAATTACTGTGAAAGTCTGGTGTCTACTAATTACTGAGGGGGGCAGGTGTGTGACGGAGATCAAAGAGACAGGTACGCTGGACAAGATAGTGATACACCTGAGACTCGGGCTATATCAGAAATCCATGAAGTTTGAACTTAGAGCACAGTTCTGTACTTAGCCTGCACTTTATACTAAGGGTGAAGCATGGTTGGACCATGGAGGAGATAGACTACTGACCAATGTTCACTGGTTCAATTAATACGACAATAAACACCGGTCTCCCCACTCACCCAGGTAGTTATCTGTCTATATGTAAGGAAGATGGTGGCAATAGTGTTGTCAGGATGTGGATTCCTAGAGTGGATTTTGTACTATTTTGCAAAAGGATCTACTTTGGTGAAAAGGGATAATCATTCTCTACTTATGTCGCTTGTGAATGTAGTTTGTGTGGAAAATTATGTGACTTGTTTAAGGTAGGTGTTATTTACTGATACAAATGAGTTGTTTAAGGTAGGTGTTATTTACTGATACAAATTAGGTGTTGAGGGTAGGTGTTATTTACTGATACAAAGGAGTTATTTAAGGTAGGTGTTATTTACTGATACAAAGGATTTGTTTAAGGTAGGTGTTATTTACTGATACAAAGGAGTTATTTAAGGTAGGTGTTATTTACTGATACAAAGGATTTGTTTAAGGTAGGTGTTATTTACTGATACAAAGAAGTTATTTAAGGTAGGTGTTATTTACTGATACAAATGAGTTATTTAAGGTAGGTGTTATTTACTGATACAAAGGAGTTATTTAAGGTAGGTGTTATTTACTGATACAAATGAGTTGTTTAAGGTAGGTGTTATTTACTGATACAAAGGAGTTGTTTAACGTAGGTGTTATTTACTGATACAAATGAGATGTTGAGGGTAGATGTTATTTACTGATACAAAGGAGTTGTTGAGGGTAGTTGTTATTTACTGATACAAATGAGTTGTTTAAGGTAGGTGTTATGTATAGGATAAAACACGTCCGAGGGTTGTTATGATATTTAAAACCCGCATCCCGAGGGATTTTCCGAGGGAAAGGGTTTTAAATATAACAACCCGAGGGGAAGTGTTTTATCTTACATATAAACCGATTTTGAACCTTAAAACAACGTTTATCAACATTTTTATGTTTCGAACATACTTTCCATGAACTTTAGGAAATGGGCGTAAAATATCTGTTGCTGGCGTACGGATCTTGAAAAGGACATTCTAAAAACCAGTGCGGTTTATCAACACCTGTAGCCTTGTGGTACACTCACTGGGCTACAGATATGAAGGTTGCGAGTTCGATCCTCGGGAATATAAAGAAAACATTTGTCATTTGATTTTAGATTTCATTACATGTTACAATCTAAACGGAAGTTATATTAATAAAATACCTAGGACATTATATAAAATACCTGGGATATTATAACACTTTATATAGCAAATATGACTTGAATATCCTATAAAATCCCAGGGACATTTCAACGTCCCTGTTTATGATGAGATTTAACTTGACTGGAGAACAATAAGATGACGTCACCGGAGGTTTATAATTACTGATACAAATGAGTTGTTGAGGGTCGGAAAGACATTAAAGTAGAAAGATCTTTATGTTGTTCCTCTGTGAATATGCTTGGTGCCTGTGGGTACAGGTAATGAAATGTACCCCAAAATAAGAATAACAAATATATTTTGAAGTTGAAACTGACTACTCAGTAAAGCATCTTGTGCAGTACTCTTCTGATTGCTGTGTAATCCTGTGTATGTACAGTGGCACCGCGATACACCACCCTGCTCCATGCATTACCAGCGTTAGGAATTGGCACTAGTTCTATAGTCCTTGCCAAACTTAGCAGCCCAATAGTGAAGTGCTAGTGGACTAAACCTGTTAGTTTCTTTCACACTCGCTCACTCACTCACTCACTCACTCACTCACTCACTCACTCACTCACTCACTTTCACACTCACGCACTCACGCACTCACTCACTTTCACACTGGCTCACTTGCTCACTCACTCACTTTCACACTCACACACTTGCTTTTTCACTCACTCACTCACTCACTTGCACACTCACTTTCTCACTCACTCACTCGCTCACTTTCACACTCACTCACTTTTACACTCTCACTCACTTGCTTTCACACTCACTCACTCGCTCACTTTCTCCTTCACTTACTTTCACACTCTCACTCCCTTTCACATTCACTTTCACACTCACTCACTTTCACACACAGTATCACGCTTTCACACTCACTCACTCACTTTCGCACTCACTCACTTTCACTCACTCACTTTCACACTTTCTCACTCACTTTCACACTCACTTAATTTCACACTCACTCAATTTCACACTCACTTTCACACTCACTCACTCACTTTCACACTCACTCACTCACTTTCACACTCACTCACTCATTCAAAATGTTCTAAAGATGACAAAGTAGACGCAATTTATGGACAGTCCTGCTTGACAACAGTATAAGGATCTATACCGAAACGTCGCCTTTACAGTATTAAAGAAGTTGTTATCCATAAATTGTGTCTACTTTGTCATCCGTCAACTTCTAAGTAATGCCTATCAAACAATTGTTCAAAAGATATTTTTCAAAATTAGTAACAATATAATGTCCTGTCAAAGTTGATTGTATCAATTTGTTTCTTTGTCACTGGTTAGAAATGCTGAACAAGCAGTTTTCACACCAATTACATTGACTTAGTATTTTCTTCCTGTCAAACACTCGGTGTGTGTCCGGCTATCACTTCAGACATTGTCCCATATTCAGGCAGAACGAGTCGCATCAAAGGCACTGAGTGAAAATGGTGAAAATATTTCCCAAAAATGAGAAGGAAAAAGTGATATATGTCGAACATGGAAGTGAGCCTCACTGACAGAACCTCGTGTATTACAGCAAGTTTAACCCCAATACCTTCCTGGCCGAAACAACTTAAACATAACCTCATTATATAAAACTAGTCTTAAGGAGGTATGCCTACTACTCATGGTTTGGTTGACTACAAACATTATGAATCAGCAAATGTGGAGACAGGAATTATACTTGTACAAAAACTTTATAACAATGTCTGTCTTCAGTTCCAAAACAACATATCCCAGAGATGGAAAAAAATGATGCATTGTATGATTTCCCATGTGAGTATATAAATATGTATATGTTTATGAGTATTAATTTCATATTTAATGTTATAGATATTAATATGCAAGGGTAAAGATCTTTAGATGACGGCATACTTTCAACATCTTCAAAATGGTTGACTTGGTGTCATCCAGTTTTTACTTTTGACTGGTGTATCAGTTAGGTGATAGTGTAGGTATGACAGTTGATTGCTGCAAGCTAGGGGGCGTGGCCGTGGCAAGGGGGCGTGGCCTGGGTTAGTGAGGATTAGTCAGGAGATAAGTGATGAGGTAGAGTGGCCATTGTTGTCCACGTGCTGAGAGATAGTGTTTCCAATCTGGCGGTACAGATGTCACATATTCCCGACTTACAATACATATTGTTATATACTTATCTCTCCACGCTGCTTGTTGAGGCTTATAATGTGATTGTCACAGGCAGACATAGTTGGGGGGAGTGTGGTTACTTATTTTGTGACTTAAATATACAGAGGCTTTCATATGATGATGAAAGATCAAAGATTGAAAACTTAATTCAATTTTAAATTTTATTCTATATAAAAAGTCTTTGGTTCTGGCCACAATAAGTTAATTAGAAGATTTTCGTCAGGTAAAATTTTATAATTGTGATGCAAGAGGCATTCTATTTTTTGTATTATGTGTTATGTAACAAACTTCAGGTGTTTGGTAGTGAGGGGGATGGGATGAACATATAAGTAATTCATTGTGTCCGAAATATTTTCAGTCCTTACAAAATATTAATTGTAGTTATGTGGATTTAAATTCACATTTAGCATGTGGATTTAAATTCACTTTTAGCATGTGGATTTCAATTCACTTTAAGTATGTGGATTTCAATTCACTTTTAACATGTGGTTTTCAATTCACTTTTAGCATGTGGATTTCAATTCACTTTTAGCATGTGGATTTCAATTCACTTTAAGTATGTGGATTTCAATTCACTTTTAGCATGTGGATTTCAATTCACATTTAGCATGTGGATTTCAATTCACTTTTAGCATGTGGATTTCAATTCACTTTTAGCATGTGGATTTCAATTCACTTTAAGTATGTGGATTTCAATTCACTTTTAGCATGTGGATTTCAATTCACATTTAGCATGTGGATTTCAATTCACTTTTAGCATGTGGATTTCAATTCACTTTAAGTATGTGGATTTCAATTCACTTTTAACATGTGGATTTCAATTCACTTTTAGCATGTGGATTTCAATTCACTTTTAGCATGTGGATTTCAATTCACTTTAAGTATGTGGATTTCAATTCACTTTAAGTATGTGGATTTCAATTCACTTTTAGCATGTGGATTTCAATTCACTTTAAGTATGTGGATTTCAATTCACTGTTAGCATGTGGATTTCAATTCACTGTGAGCATGTGGATTTCAATTCACTTTTAGCATGTGGATTTCAATTCACTTTAAGTATGTGGATTTCAATTCACTTTTAGCA